AGGGATTAAACCTGGGCCGCCCCCCATATGCAAGTTTGCTGAGCACATGAGTGCTCCTAAGTGCAAAACCAGGAGTAGTTTCTGAGTGTTACAGGGTCTGGCCTTAGACCCTAGATTTTTTTTTTTTACTTGATCTTTGAGTCACTGTACTATCTCTGCAGCCCCCTAGACTGATTCTTTCTTTTAGGGGCAGCGGGTGTTTGGGCCATACCCAGAAATGCTCAGGGGTTACTCCTAGCTCTGCATTTAGGAATTATTCCTGGCAGTGCTCAGGGGGTGCATATGGGATGCGGGAATTTAACCTGGGTCAGCTGCATGCAAGGCAGATGTCCTACCTGCTGTACTGTTGCCCTGGTCCAGGAGATCCTAGATTCTTTCACTGTGATCCCCTATAGGTTGAGCAACTGACTGTGGAACTCATTTTAAAATTGCTTGAGTGATATTTTATTGATGGAAAGGAAAAGACCTTTGATTGACTCTCTTTGATGGTTTGGGGAACCTCAGCCCCTTCCTGCTACCCTAATGCTACTTCCCACTCCCCTCCCCTCCCTCTACTTCAGCTACCTGGTCTCTCAGCACTTCCCAGGTAGGTCAGGTACTTTCTGCCCCAGGGCATTGACCTGGCTGTCTCTTTTGCTAGGAACATTCTCCATCCTCCTCCCAGACTGTGGCAGGTTGGCACCATCTGGTCCTTCAGATGTCACCTCCAAATGTCATCTTGAGGCCTTTCCTGAACTCTCATTTAGACCTTCTGCCCAAATCTCTGAGAGTACTTCTTCAGGTCCTCTATATACACACTGCAGGCCAAGAGATAGTACAGCGGGTAACGCGCTTGTCTTATTTGTAGTTGACCCAGGTTCAATCCCCGGCATCCCATATGGTCTCCTGAGCACTTCCAGGAGTGATCCCTGAGTGCAAAGCCAGGAGTAATCCCTGAGTGTTGCCATGTGTGGCTAAACCAAAACTAAAATAAACTTTAAAAAATGCTTTGGAGACAGAGAGATAGTACAGTTGGTACGGTGCTTGCCTTGTTCATAGCAGACCCAGGTTTGATCTCCAACACCACGTATGGTTCCCTGAGTTCATCAGAAGTGATTTCTGAGTGAGAGTCAGAAGTAATCTCTGAGCACTTCCAAGTGTGAAAAAAATTACACGCTGCAGCTTGTAATTATTATTTTTTTCCCATTAGAAGAAAATCTATATAAAAGTAAGAGACTGTGTGTCTAGACATGCTGTCTACTTAAGTAAGCTCTTTCATTGATGCAAAACATATATTCAGGGAAACAGCCACAATCTGAGTATATAGGTAGTTAATATTCATGAACAAGAACTCCTGCATCACTAGTGCCCAGATGAGGAAATAAAACTCTCCCAGTTTATCCAAACTCCCAGTACGTCTCCCAAAGGCCAAATACTACTTACTCTGAATAGATTACTCTGAATAGCTTTTCCCCCACACCTTTTTGAACATTATGTAAATGGAGTCTGGACATCGAAAGTTGTCCATACCCTAACTTACGAGGATGCTATGCTCCATGACCAAAGGGTCTTTGCAGATGTGATTTAATTAACGCTCTAGAGATGGAGCGATTATGCTGGATTATTCCAGTGGGTCTAATGTAATCATGAAGGTCTCTTAATGCAGAAAAGGACAAGTGATGCAGTGTGGGAAAGATGACTAAGATGATAAGTTACTGATGACTTTGAAGATGGAGGAAGGGGCCAGGAGCCAAGGAATGTGGGCAGTCTTTCGAAACCAGAAAAGACAAGGAAAGATTCTCCCCTGGTGTTTTCAGTAGGAACTCAGCTCTGGAGACACCTGGATTTCAGCCAGTGAGACCCAGACATCTAATCTGCAGAATGGTAATACAATAAGTCGGTGTTATTTAAAGCTGCTCCATTTGGAAAATGTGTCCCAGAACCAATTATTTCTGTGAAGAATGAATACAACCTTTATTCTTTTTTTGTTTCGGGGCTACGCCCGGTGGTGTTTAGGGCTTATGCCTGGATCTGCACTCAGGATTCACTCCTGGAGGGCTCAGGGGTGCTGGGAATCAAACCCACAGGCAGGTCAAAAGTCATGCCCGCTGTACTATAGCTATACCTTTGCCAAGTCACTCTCCAATCCCAAATGCTCTGCCCAGCCCTGCTTCCTTTCTTCCTCTGTTAGTGTTGCTCCTTCTAAAGTTGAACATCTATGACCTGAGAGATAGTACAGGGTAGTTGCCCTATATCAGTGACTCCTGAGCAGAGCCAGATGTAGCCCAAACCCCATTCTTCCACCTGCCCCCTGCCCCTGGCCAAAAAAAAAAATTGCAGGAAGACTAAAAAATTAGTTGCATGAAGTCTGAAAAGTCCTTAAAGGGGAAGGTGTTTGGGTGGTTCATGGGTATAATGGGTACAGCTGAAACAGAATATGGATCCTTGACTATGCAGAGGAACACGGAATCTTAAAGGATAAGGACCCAAATGCAGGTAATATGCTCCCAAACTTGACCCCTTTTTTGTGACTTTTTGGGTCACCCCCGGCGATGCTCAGAGGACCATATGGAACCATGGGGGACTGTGGGAAGCTGGCCCTTTAACTGACCAAGGCCTAAGTTCCTGTATGGTCATCCTGACCTACGACCCCACAGCAGGCACAGCCTGTGCTATGTATGGTCATCTTGACCTACGTGACCCCACAACAGGCAAAACCAGTGCTATGTATGGTTATCTTGATGTATGGTTATCCTGAGAGGACATCTGTCATGGCTGTCAGTAATAACAAGAAGTAACTATCTCGTGTCTGGTACGTGATGCATGTAAATTTTATAAATCATATGGACATGGCCCTTTGTGTATCTACCTCATGTCTGGTAAATCATATGGACATGGCCCTTTCTGTAATCACCTCGTGTCTGGTACTGGGCTGGAGCGATAGCACAGCGAGTAGGGCGTCTGCCTTGCATGCAGCCAACATGGCCGACCCGAGTTCGATTCCTCCGCCCCTCTCGGAGAGCCCGGCAAGCTACCGAGAGTATTCGATATGCCAGACACAGTCTGGTACCAGATACACATAAACCTTGTAATGCATGATAGGTGAAAACAAACCTTCCTAACCATATATGGGCACGACCTTTAGTGTGGCTGCCTCACTAATGGATATATACCCTGATTGCCCCCAATAAAGTCTGTCCCTTTTTCTCTCTGTTTCTGAGCTGCATTCTGTCTCTTGTGTCTTGTGTTCATTCGGTCGGTCCTTCCCTGCACCTACGGATCCTAGGGCCACCTCCGTGGGCCGGAGAGTGGTTTTGCGGGCCCCCCGCAGGGGACCATATGGGATGCCATGAATGGAACCTAGGTCAGCCCCGGCCCAGCTTCTGAGGTTGGTAGCCACAGGCATTTGGTCTCTCAAATTCTTATTTTATTTTTTTGGGGGGTGGTCACACCAGGCATGTGATGCTCAGCTTGGCTCTGCACTCAGGGATTACTCCTGACGGTACTGGGGAATCGGGGAGCCACATGGGACAATTGGGGAACCATATGGGATAGTAGAGATTAAACCCGAGCCAGTCGCGTGCAAGGCAAATGCCCTCCCCGCTGCACTAGCTATACTATCACTCCGGCCCAACCCTCAGTTTCTTTCTTCTTCTTCTTTTTTAAAAATTTTTATTAGTGAAACACCATGAGGTACAGTTGTAGACTTACAAATTTTTGTGCTTGGGTTTTGATTATACAATGGTCAAATACCCATCCCTCCACCAGTGCCCATTTTCCACCACTATGGACCCCAGTATCCCTCCCATCCCCATCCCCCCATCCCACCCTGCCTCTGTGGCAGGGCATTCCCTTTTGTTCTCTCTCTCCTTTTGGGTGCTGTGGTCTGCAAAAGAGGCATTGAGTGGCAATCATGTTCGGTCCATAGTCTACTTTCAATATGCATCTCCCATCCTGGGAGGATCCTCCAAACACCTTTTATTTGGTGCTCCCTTCTCTATCTGAGGTGCCCAGCTAGCCTCTAAGCCATGGAGTAATCCTCCTGGCACTGATCTCGGCTATTCTTGGGTATTAATCTCCTATTTTGTTACTTTATGTCCCCCAGATGAATGCAATCTTTTTATGTCTATCTCTCTTTTTCTGACTCATTTCACTCAGCATGATACTTTCCATGTAGTACCACTTGTATGTAAATTTCATGACTTTAACTTTTCTAACAGCTACATAGTACTCCATTGTGTAGATGTACCAAAGTTTCTTTAACCAGTCATCTGTTCTTGGGCACTCAGGTTTTTCCAGATTCTGGCTATTGTAAAGAGTGCTGCAATGAACAAACAAGTGCAGATGTCACTTCGACAATACATTTTTGCCTCTCTGGGATATATTCCCAGGAGTGGTCCAACCCTCAGTTTCTTAAAAGCTTTTGAGTGAATTTTCATTCATTCGGTGTACATGGCAGGTAATGGCTAACGGTTAACCAACTATTCTAGGCACTGATAAAACCAATGGTGCACATGAGACAGGTCCTTGCTTTGGGAAGATCTAGAGGGAGAGGCAGAACCAAGGACGCAAGCCAAAGAACAGGGAAACCAAACGACTGAAATCATTTCAGGCTCGTGAGTCCGAAAGGGGTCGGACCTGGAGGGCCGCCGGGGATGAAGGCGCAGCCTCACGACCCGCTATAGACCCCGCCCCCTGATTTACATGTGACTTCTGATTGGTGACTGGCGACTGGCCCCACCCCTCGGAGCGTCTCCGGGGAAGCGCGGGGCGGACCCGGTTGAGACGCGGCCGAGGCTCCGGGGGTGGCCGGGCGGGCGGGGGGCGGCGCGGGCCGGAGCCGGGCAGGGTCCGCCCGCCGCGGTGCCCGGACGCTGCTCGTGCTCCAGTCCAGCCGCGGGCCTGCTTCCTCCAGGCGCGGGCCCGCCCGCCGTCCCCGCCCCTCCACCCTTTGTGCCGCCGCCGTCCGGTGCCCTCCGGCGCCGCGGGACCCCGGCGGGGCCGCCCGCGGCTGCCCGCCAACCCCGCGTGGGCGCCGGGCGGGCGGCCCATGGCCAGAGGGCAGTGCAGGGACCGGGCCGCTGCCGCCGGAGCCCGCCACTCCGGACGCCCCGGCCGCCTCCGCCGCATTGTCCCGGGCCGCGCGCCCCAGCCTTGAGCCGCGCCGCCCGCGGGGCGATGCGGAGAGCCGCGGCGATGGAGGACTTCGTGGACGAGGAGGAGCCTTGGTACGACCAGCAGGACCTGGAGCACGGTGAGCGCGGGCGCGGGGGGCGGGCGTCCCGCGACCCCTGGTCATTGTCGGGCGATCGCGGCCAGGAAGGGGCTGCTGGAACCCGGCGCGCCCCCCGCCCGAGGGCCGTGCGCCTGCAGAATGGAGGCGCTGCCCGGGAGGGACCTGCCCAAACCGGGGGTGTGCGGCTGTCCCCGCGCTTCACACGGCTCGCTCGCCTCATCTTAAAGCCACCTTGGCATTGTCCGGGCCCAGGGATCTGCGGGGAGCGTCTGGAGGCCGCGAGGCAGCTCCTTGATTGTGCTCCACTGGGGTGGGAGCGGGGTGCAGAGGAAGGGACCCCCCCTTCCCGTCCTCCCCTGCTTTCCAGGCCAGCACTGCTCCTTCTCTCTGCCAGGATGCCTGAAGTCCCAGAAAGTTTCCCAACTCCTTTCCCCTCTCCCCTGGGGACGGTAGGGAAGTGGGGATGCAGGGACCTCGCCGCAAAACCAGAGTGGGAGTCCCCTTGGCCTTCTCGAGGGAGGAGTTCGCTGGCCCTGCCCCTCTCCATCCGCATTCCAATGGCCGAGACCTTGAGACCTGATGAGGGCTTTGGGTTTGGGAATTCTGAGCCTAGTGAGAACCTGAGTAGCACGGGAGCCCCACCCCCCGCCATCCCAATCCCTCCCAGAGGAAGAGTGGCTGCTGCAGAAGGGTCAGAGCTGGTGATGAGTTGGCCGAAGTGACATCAGTCCGGACAGGGGGCGGGACAGTCAGGACAGGAAGGAGGAGGAGGGTCAGCGCCCCGCCCTGCTGGAAGCTGGAGAGGCGTCCAGTGTGCTGGCCTGCCCAAAACCCCTCCTGGCAAGGGCACAGAGCATGTCCGGGGCAAGTGACCACAGCCAGCCAGCAGACTTGTGCTGGGGCTCTAGGATAACCCCAAGCTGCCAGTCCCCACTGTCCCAGGACCCCAGCCCCTGTGCCCCAGTAGCTGGGCTGGCTAGTGGGTGCTGTCCTGCTTTGCAGAGAGGCAGAGAAGAAGCTTTGTTTCCTGGTCTGGGCTGCCCTATGCTGGCCTGTGCGTCCATCAGAGCCTGGGCTGGGGGTGTATGGCCAAGACTGTCCTGGAGCTTCATGCCCCATTCTGGGGGCAAGTCTCTGAGGTGCACCACTCCCACAAATACCTGTCTGGAGGCCCCACATTCTGGCTAGACCCTACCAGCCCTGACCCTGGCGGGCCTATCACTGAAGGGGGGAAGGGTAAGTGGGCCGGGCGGGCTTCATGGAGGAGGGGGCCTAGAGGAGCGTGGGGAAGCTGAGTTCCGGAGGAGATGGTCTCCCGAGGCTGATGCTGGTAGCATGGCAGCCTTTCACACTGAGTCTCTGGCACCATGCCCGGCCCAGATGTGGCAGGAAGGAGCGAGGGGGGGATGGAATTGAGGGAGGGGGAGGGGAGGACCTGCAGCTTCTAGAGAGGATGAGATGAGGGCCAAGCATCCCCTCGGGCCAGCATAGCTGTAGCCCTAGACACTGCCCCCCCCCCCCCCCCCCCCGTCTTGCCCTGTGGTTGCCAGAGTCCAGGAATAAGGAGCGACACCCTAAAGAAGACAGTCTCCAAGAAACTGGGCCAGACCAGAGGACTCAGGGAGCCCATCTGTCCTCCAGGGCCCAGCTCCGGCAGAGAAGGGAGGTGGAGTCAGAGGGCAGCGGGGCACCCCTGATCTGGGGTGGCACTGTATCAAGGTATCAAGGCAGGGTACCAAGTAGGGGTGCCCTGGAGTTGGGGGTGGGTGCTGGAGGAAGTCTTCAGTCCTGGGCCCAGTTCCCGCAGCATGCTGGGGGACCAGCCTGGGATACTGGATGAAGGGGCCAAAGGTCAGCCCCCCTGGGGGTCTGGTGCCTGCAGCCCCTTCACACCGCGGGCTCCCCAGATCTCTGCCCAGCTGCCCTTGGACCTGGTTGCCCCGCCAGCCTGGCCTTCTTCATACCCTGCTGCTGCTGTGGGGGCAGGGGCAGCTGCTGGGCCGCCCACATCTTGTTTGACCTCCAGGCTGTCCCGTCCGCACCGAGGGAAGCCCTTGGGAGCAGTAAAGTGCCCGATCCTCACTGGGTTCCCAGTGCCCAAAACAGAAAAATCGAAAACTCCTTCCATTTCATTCCCCATCATTGACGCCCTGGCCCCAGGCAGGCAGCTCTGGGGTCACCTCCTTCCAGGCCAAGGTGGCTGCTGGTCCCAGATTCGACGTCCTGCGGGTCTGTGGTCTCAGTCTGGTGGGGGAAAGCTCTCATCTGCTGTGTTCCTGTTTCCGGTTCCCTGCCCATCCCCCTGCTCTGGAACCTAGGGGCTCCACCCTGCCAGCCCCCAGAGGCCAGGGGGGTTTTTGCTTTCTTTCCAAAGACAATTCTCTTGTGCCCTCAGCCTCTGGGCTTTTGCTCCTCAGTGGACCCCTAGCAGTGACTCAGAGAGCAAAGTTGGAGCAATAGCACTCAGCTAGAGCCGTGCATGCGGCTGACCCCAATTAAAAGAAAGCGGGGTGATAGTCCAGCGGGAAGGGCATTTACCTTGCGTACGGCCGACCCAGGTTCGATCCTAGGATCCCATGTGGTCCCCTAAGCATGACCAGGAGAGATTCCTGAGTGCAGAGAGATTCCTGAGATTCCAGATTCAGAGATTCCAGCACTGCCAGGTGTAGCTGAAAGCTCTGGGGTCAGCAGGGAAGGGCCAGCTCAGACAGCTCCGGCCCCCAGTGTGACCATTCTAGATTATCCGTGTTACACCGGGTATCACTGACTTCTACTTCCAGCTTGGCCAGCTTTCTGTCCTGCCACCGCAGGGCCTTCCCAACCCTCTGGTCCCCCTCCTGGGGGCCACCGCCTGCCCCCATGTTCCCAGCACTCATGCCATGCTGTCCCTTGCTCTGGAGTTTCTGAATTTCTGTCCCGTGATCCCTCCTGGCCGCTTAGAGAAGCTGAGCTGGCAATGTCCTCTGCAGCCTCCCGGCATCTCCTCACCCGAAGAGCTGCTCTCGCGATCCGCCCCCGCCTGGGACCCTCCCCTTTGCAGGGCTGGCTCCCGTTTGACTCACTGCCAACAGGGAACACACAGATGCTGGCCTGGAAGGAAGAGCAGGAAGCTGTTTATTTTTGTATTTATTTTGCCAAGGGGCCCGGGACCGAACCCAGGGCCTTATGCTTACAAGGCTCTGCCACGAGCCACCTTTTCCCCCACCTCAGAGAGCGCGGTGTGCTCAGACTTGCTACCCTCTGCCTCTGACCTTAGACTCCTGTGAAGTCGCAGCAGGGAGCTGGTTCTCCAATGGCCCTCATCAGGGGCCGACATCGCCAGCTGTGTTCCTCCTGCCTTATTCATTTGTGCTTAGATTTCCTTCCTTCCTTCCTTCCTTTCTTTCTTTCTTTCTTTCTTTCTTTCTTTCTTTCTTTCTTTCTTTTTTAGGGGATGGTTGGAACAGTACACCCAACATTGCTCAGGGCTTACTCCTGGCTCTGTGCTCAGGAATCACTCCTGGTGGTGCTCAGGGAACCCTGTGGGATGCTGGGGATCGAACCTAGGTCGACCGCGTGCAAGGCCAGCACCCTCCCTGCTGTGCTCCAGCGACCGCCCACACCTGGATTTCTTGAGAGGGTTTGGGGATGAGCCGATGGTCTCCTTCCCAGTACAGGAATAGGATGATGGTATGGCCCCCACATTGTGAAGTGGGGAGTGGTCTCGCTGGGTTCCAAACTTTCTCTGCAGCACAGGGGACTGCAGCCTGAAGGGTTCAACACCGAGGGAGCCGGAGCTGTCACGCTGTTGACCTGAGTTCAATCCCTTGCGCCTCTTATCACTGTCACTGTCCTCCCGTTGTTCATCAATTTGCTCGAGCGGGCCCAGTAACGTCTCCATTGGAGACTTTGTTGTTACTGTGTTTGGCATATCGAATACGTCACGGGGAGCTTGCCAGGTTCTGCTGTGCGGGCGAGATACTCTCGGTAGCTTGCTGGGCTCTCCGAGAGGGGCGGAGGAATCGAACTCAGGTCGGCCATGTTGGCTGCGTGCAAGGCAAACGCCCTACCACTTTGCTATCACTCTAGCCCAACATGGTCCCCTGGAAACCCACCAGAAGTGATCCCTGAGCAATGCCAAATAAATAAACACACACACACACACACATGCCAGGCATCACCACGGCAGACAGACGCCCCCACACTTGTCAGTGGCTGACTTTGTCAATGAATCCACATCATCCCTGCTGTTGTGTCTTGTGAGCGGGGTGTTTGTTAGCTAACTAATTTTTCTTGGCATCATTCCCAGAAAGCTAATTGCTCAGGGCTAGAGATTCTTTTCTAGGACTAGGATTTTTGTAAATGACCTGGTAAGCCTTTGTAGAAGCAACTTTTGCTTTTGTTTCTGGGCCATACCTGACAGTGCTCAGGGCTTACTCTTGATGCTACACTCAGGGATCATTCCTGGCAGGCTTGGGGTGCTGGGGATTGAACCTGGGTCAGCTGTGTTCCAGGCAAACACCTTCCAGCCCTGGAGAGGCAACTTTTTGTTTTGTTTTGGGGCCACATTTTGCAATGCTCAGGGGTTACTCTTGGCCCTGCACTTAGGAATTATTCCTGGTGGTGTTCTGGAGACCATATGGGATGGCTGGGATTGAACCCAGGTCAGCTGTGTGCAAGGCAAACACCCTCCCCGCTGTGCTAGCACTGAGCCCCATGGAGGTAACTTTTTTTTTGTTTTTTGCTTTTTGGGTCACACCCAGTGATGCACAGGGCCTACTCCTGGCTTTTGCACGCAGGAGTTACTCTCCTGGTGGTGCTCAGGGGACCATATGGGATGCTCGGAATCGAATCTGGGTCGTCCGTGTGCAAGGCAAATGCCCTACCTTCTGTGCTATTGCTCCAGCCCTGGAGATGACTTTTTTTTTCTTTTTTGCTTTTTGGGTCACACCCAGAGTTACACAGGGGTTACTCCTGGCTCATGCACTCAGAAATTGCTCCTGGAGGTGCTCGGGGAACCATATGGGATGCTGGGAATCGAACACCGGTCGGCTGTGTGCAAGGCAAACGCCCTACCCGCTGTGCTATCGCTCCAGCCCTCGAGGTGACTTTTTAAAAGAAATGTTTCACCACACTTGGCAGGACTGGAAGGCCCAGCCATATGGATAAAGGGGACTGAACCCGGGTTGGCTGCATGCAAGGCAATTGTCGCACTGGCTGTACTATCACCCCACCCCTGGAGAAGCAACTATTCTTTTTTTGTTGTTTTTTGGGGGGTTTACACCCGACGGTGCCCAGGGCTTATTACTCCTGACTCTGCACTCAGGGATCACTCCTGGCAGGATTCAGGGGACCATTTGTTTATATGTGGTGCCAGTGATCATTTGTTTATATGTGGTGCCAGGGCTGGAGCGATAGCACAGCGGGTAGGGCGTTTGCCTTACAAGCGGCCAACATGGCCGACCCGAGTTCGATTCCTCCGCCCCTCTCGGAGAGCCCGGCAAGCTACCGAGAGTATTCGATATGCCAGACACAGTAACAACAAAGTCTCCAATGGAGACGTTACTGGGCCCGCTCGAGCAAATCGACGATCAACGGGAGGGCCTTTACCTTACCTTTACCAGTGAGCTTCTCCTTGCTACAGAGAGCAGTGTGGGGATTTCTACGGAAGACATCTGGGCATAGGGCTGCCCTCTGGGGGTACGCCAGCCCCCTGGCCTGCAGACTTCACTCTGCTTTTTTTAGAAGCTCAGACACTAGCTTTTGTGCTGGCTGGGTGATTGGCTGAGCCCTGAAGCTTTCATAAGACCGTGTGAGTTGTGCCCATGCCATCCGCCACCCCTGAAAGAAACTGGGGTTCAGGGGCTGGAGAGACAGTATAGTGGGAAGGCACTTGCACAGGGCATTTCTCTGGCACCATCGATGGTCCCCCAAGCATCGCCAGGAGTTATCGCAGAGCCCAGCTGGGTATGGTCCAAAGAAACCAAAAACAGGGGCTGAAGAGCCATTATAGGAGTAAAGGCACTTGCCTTGTGTGTGGCAGACCCCTGTTTGAGTCCTAGGCGCTATATATGATTCCTGAGTGCAGAGCCAGAAGTAAGCCCTGGGTACCACCAGGTGTGACCCCAAACAAAACAAGCAAAGAAATCTAGTAGTTTTAGCCTTTTTTCACTCTGGAGAAGCCCAAGTTTCTCTCTCTCTCTCTCTCTCTCTCTTTCTCTCTCTCTCTCTCTCTCTCTCTCTCTCTCCCTCCCTCTCCTCCCACACCTCCTCCTTCTGTGTGACTTTATTAAGTCATGAGCTTAGTTCTCATCCACATTGACTTTCTGTAGATTTTTGAAAGTGACGACGGGCGCATAAGTAAATCCATGTATAACGTTTGGTGAATCTTCATCTTCATTCCACTTTCTGGACAAACGTACACGGACTCAGTCTGGGACATTCCTTTTTCCTTATTCCTTTGGCCCTGCAGCTTTGTTGCGCCTGGTGCCAATGCACACACCAGGAGTGCCCATCTCCTTCATGGCAAACTTCCGGTTCCCCCTGAGCACCCGAGGCGCGTACTTCCTGAAATCCACTTCGTGGGTGAGCTTGTGGGTGTTGATGGCGTATTCCCGGGTCTCCACCTCACAGCTGGCGGGGCGACCCTTCTCGCCACCCTTGGTGAGAGCCACTCTGCCAACCCCGGAGGGAAAGGAAGCCAAGTTCTCTCTTGAACATGTATTTCTCTTTCTCTCCTCTCACATAGATCTAATGTCTCTAAATTTCTTGAAATAAAACCTAATTTGCCTTACTGAAAAAAAAAAGAAAAGAAAGAAACCAAAATTGGCCTGGAAGATAGCAGAACGGGGGCTAGAGCAATAGTCCAGCAGGGAGGATGTTTGCCTTGCACGCGGCTGACCCGGGTTCGATCCCCGGTATCCCATAGGGTCCTCTGAGTACTGCCAGGGGTAATTCCTGAATGCAGAACCAGGAGTAAGCTCTGAGCGTTGCCAGGTGTCACTCCAAAAGCCCCCCCCCCCAAAAAAAAAGCAGAATCAGGTGGAACACAATCTCTGTATACCAAATTCACCCCAAAGTTGCCATTCAGGAAACTTGGGTCCTTTTCCCCATCATGTGGCTCATTTTTTCTGGGGGTTGGGGGATAGTTTGGGACACATCCTGCTGCCTCAGTCCTGGCTCTGGTGCTGGGAATCCAACCAAGGTCAACCGCTTGCAAGGCAAATGCTTTACCTACTATACTATCTTTCTGGTCTTTGGTTTCAATTTTTGGCGGGGAGGGCTGGGATGGGGACCCAAACCTTTGGTACTCAGGACTTACTCCTAGCTCTCTTCACACAAGGACCACTACTGGCAGGGCTAGGAGGACTCTATGGGGTGCCTAGGACGGAACCCGGGTCGACCGCATGCAAGACAAACACCCTCCCCAGTGTACTATCACTCTGGCCCCCTGATTGCATTTTCTTTCTTTCTTTCTTTTTTTCTTCTTTCTTTCAACTCATTGGTCACTTTATTTTTATTTATTTATTCATTTGGGTCACACCTGGCAATGTTCAGGGTTCACTACTGGCTCTGCACTCAGGAATTACTCCTGCTGGTGTTCAGGGGACCATATGAGATGCTGGGGATTGAACCCGGGTCGACCGCGTACAAGGCAAACGCCCTCCTTGCTGTGCTATCACTCTGGCTCCCCTGATTGCATTTTCAACAGAGATAAAAATGAAAACACCCCCTAAAAATTCAACAGTAGGGCTGAAGAGATAGCCCAGCAATAAGGCCCTCGCCTGCATGCAGCTTGCCTTAGTTCAACCCCCGGCACTGCATATGGGCCCCGAGCACTAATCTGGCCCTGAGCACTCTGCTTTGGCCCTAAAACCAAACTACATAAGTAGTTTACATAAGTAAAAGCAATCCCTATCGTTGGACTTTTTCTGGGTTTGGTTTGGCTTGGGGGCCGTGCCGGGATGCTGAGGGGCCATACCTGACAGTGCCCGGGGACCGAATACGATGCTAGATTCGAATCGTGTCATGGCTATAGCCATATACTAGGCAAGTAAATGCCTTAACCTCTGTTCTTTCATGCTCCCATCCCATCTCTCTCTCTCTCCTCTCTTTCTCATCTTTCTCCTCCTCCTCCTCCTCCTCCTCCTCCTCCTCCTCCTCCTCCTCCTCCTCCTCCTTCTTCTTCTTCTTCTTCTCTCTCTCTCTCTCTCTCTCTCTCTCTCTCTCTCTCTCTCTCTTCAGTTTTTGTTTTATTGTCATTGGGGTGGGCTGAGGGTTCAGCCTTTCTCAGTTAGAGTGGGGAAAAGCCTCCTGGGGCACTTAGGTGCTGCATTGGGTAAAGGAGCAGCCCAGCAGGGAGGATGTTTGCCTTGCACACAGCAGACCTGGGTTTGGTCCCCAACATCCCCTAAGGTCCCCTGAACACCTCCAGGAGTAGTGATTCCTGAGCTCAGAGCCAGGAGTCAGCCCTAAGCACTGCCTGTCTGGCAACAACAACAAACAAGACGAGGAACAGGTGGACCTGGGCATACCTGGGGAAAAAACTGCATTAGAGAGGATGTGTATAGCCTATAGTGAGGGGAGGGCCCTCTGACTTCCTTCTTGGCACCCTCAGACTTGCATTTGGCGGCTGAACTGGGGAAGACGCTGCTGGAGAGAAACAAAGAGCTGGAGGAGTCGCTGCAGCAGATGTACGCCACCAACGAGGAGCAGGTGCAGGAGATCGAGGTGAGGCCCCCATGCGGGCCCCGGGAACACAGTGGTGGGCCCGGCCTTGCCTGGTGCATTCACAGCCCACATGACTCTCCCAGGCCACCCCCCCACCATGGTCCTTCCCCATCATGGCCCCAAAGTTGGAAGGGAGCCGGGACAGAGGGATGTGGTCCCAGTCCAGTCTGGAAGGTTCTTTTTTTTTGCTTGCTTTCTGGGTGACACCCATGATGCTCAGGGGTGTGCCAGGTTACTTCTGGCTCTGCAATCAGGAATTACTCCTGGCAGAGCTCAGGGAACCATGAGATGGGATGGGATGCTGAGAATCGAACCTGGGTTGGCTGCGTGTAAGGCAAATTCCCTACCCATTGTGCTGTCGCTCCAGCCCCCTGGAAGGTCCTTTTGTGTCAGGAGGGAGCTTGCCGGACTGGAGCCTGTGCTTTGCATGCAGGGGGGCCCAGGTTCCGTGCTCAGCGCTGCCAGATCCTCTGAGTACTGAGCTGGGTGCCAGGCTCTGTGTGCCAGAGCTCCAGAGGAGTGACCTCAAAATGCAATCAGGGGCCAGAGTGTTGATACAGTGTGTGTGTGTGGGGGGGAGGGGTGCTGGCCTCGCCTGCAGCCAACCTGGGTTCCATCCCAGGCACCCCAGAGGGTCCTCTGAGCCCCACCAGGAGTGACCCTTTAGCTGAATGTGGCCCAGACAGTGGGGAGGACGCTTGCCTTGCACGCTGCTGGCCCTGGTTCCATCGGGGGAACCATCCAATATAGTCCCCTTAGCACTTGCCAGGAGTGACCCTTAAGTACAGAGCCAGCCCAAACATCCGCGTCCTCCTGGGCATTGTGGGGTGAGGCCTCCACAAAAGACAAAGACGAGATTACATTCTCCCTCCAGTACCTGACCAAGCAGCTGGACACTCTGCGGCACGTGAACGAGCAGCACGCCAAAGTGTACGAGCAGCTGGACCTGACGGCGCGTGACCTGGAGCTGACCAACCAAAAGCTGGTGCTGGAGAGTAAGGCTGCCCAGCACAAGATCCAGGGGTGAGGCCGGAGGGAAGGCGGGCTGGGAGCCTTTGGGCGAGGTGCGAGAAGTGACGGAGGGTGTCCTGGGAACCGAGAAGGACAGCGGGGAGAGAGGGGCAGCAGGGCAGGGGCCGGAGCGATAGTCCAGTGCGGGGAGGGTGCTCGCCTTGCACGGCTTACCCGAGTTCAATTCCTGGCATTTCATATGGTTCCCCTGAGCACAGCCAGGGAAGCACAGAGCCAGGAGTAAGCCTGGAGCACTGCTGGGACTGCTCGGTGTGGTCCAAATAATAAAATTTTAAAAAGAAGGGGCCGGAGCAATAGTACAGTGGGCAGGGCGTTTGCCTTACACGTGGCCGACCCATGTTTGATCTCCGGCATCCCATAAGGTTCCGCCGTGTACTGCCAGGAGTAATTTTCGAGTGCAGAGCTAGGAGTAACCCCTGAGTATCGCCGGCTGTGACCCCAAAAGCAAAATAAATAAATAAATAAAATAAAATAAAAAGAAAGAGGAAAAAGGAGGGGGCAGCAGGGCCGGGGGGTGGGGGCAGGGAGAGGCTGGACCCCGCCGGGTGCCGCGTCCGGTGCTGCGGGGCCAAGCCAGGGGAAGGCCGTCAGGGTGAAAGCAACACCCGAGACACAGGGCTCCGTCATGCAGGAGATGGTGAAGGATCTCTGTTTATTGTTTCACATCACAGTATTTATCCCCCCTCCAAGTCAGGCAGGAAAGGGGAAGGGGCAAGCAGGGACGTGGGATGAGTCACGTACTGTCAGTCGGCTGATAGCCCCCCGGCCCTCGTAACCTTTACATGTGTCTCAATGTAGTGGCTGCCACATCAGTTTTAGACATAACCATAGAGGACGTGCTAAACCGAGGGTATGCTCTAGATAAACATTTACAAGCTGGGATATTTCCCAAAACTGAGGCCTTGCTGTTGATACCAGGAGGTTGCCCATAATGTGAGTGTCGAGGAGGCAGCAGATCAGGCATCCATTTTGTGCCAGGAGGCAACAGCCGGGCATCAAGGTTGCCCCTCTGTCCCCGAGCCCTGCACTCTGGGCCTCCCCTGATGTCCCTCCCGTGACCCCGTAGGCTGACGGAGACGGTGGAGCGTCTGCAGCCGCAGGTGGAGGAGCTGCAGGCCCAGGTGGAGCAGCTGCGGGGCCTGGAGCAGCTGCGTGCCCACCGGGAGAAGCGGAGCCGCCGCCGCACCATCCATACCTTCCCCTGCCTCAAGGAGCTGTGCACCAGCCCCCGGTAAGTGGCACCTGCCAGTGGCCCAGGGTCCAGCGGCTGGGGCAGGGGTATGGGCCAGCAAGTGGGGCTGAGAATGAGGCCCACCACATCCCCGGGGTCCAGCGGCTGGGGCGGGGGCATGGACCAGTGAGTAGGGCTAAGTCAGGCCCCAGCTGGGCCCTGGGACCACTTGAGCCCCTGACTACTCACATCAGCCCCTGCTGTATACAGAGCCTGGGTCCGTGGCCTTCTCAGTAGCGCTGGGTGTGCTCAGAGCGCTGGCCATGCCAGGTGCTAAGAGTCACTGTATGTGGCAGGAGAATCTCGAAGGGTGGGACCACTGGGTCCCAGGCTCAGCGTGCCAGAACTCCAGGCTCCATGCCCTGCACTCAGGGCACTACCAGGAACAGACTCCCAAGTCCTGTGGCTGGAGCAATAGAACAGCATGGAGGGCCCTTGTCTTACATGCAGCCCACCCAGGTTCGACCCCTGGCTCCCCATAGGGTCCCCTGAGCACAAAGCCAGGAGTAAGCCCTGAGCATCACCGGCTGTGGCCCTCCAAAAACAAACTCCCAAGCTCAGAGTCGGGGCTAGCCCAAGTACTTCCAGGTATGGCCCCAAACAAACCAGCCCCCCAAAAAGTGCATTGTCACGGCAAACCCATGTGGTATGTTTTATTGTCCCCGGTCGCTGCTCAGAGGAGGAACTTGAAACTTGGATGTTGTGCAGATCTGAGGTCACGGGGTCAGAAAGGCAGAACTGATCCAGTTCCCATATGGGGTTCTCATTCAGTCCTAAGGAGCTCCACCAGGAGGGACCCCTGAGCTCAGAGCCAGGAGTAGCCCCTGAGCATTGCCGGGTGTGGCCCCAACCCCTCCCCACCCCACCCCCAACAAAAGAATTGAGGAATTCCCAGTGTGTATTTAGTGGGTGTTAATACTGGACTGGCACTGGGCAGAGTAATCAAATGTGGTCAACGAAGAGATCCGGGCAGGGTGGAGAAAAAATGGGGGTGGGGCAGCAGGCGGGGCCAGAGGCGGTACCACGTTGAAGCGGACTAGGAGAAGGGCAGGAACTGGAACTTTGAGTCCCCAAGGTGCTGCAGGCTGCCTCTGACCAGGGAAAGAGCCTGGGGGAGACACCCCTCATCTCTACCCCGCCTCCACACTTGGCCTCCCGGGGGCTGAACTCTGGTTGAGAGAGATTGGAGACAGGGACCAGAACTGGGGGGAACGGGAGCATGCGTGGAAGGGGAGGGGGCCCCCAGGCTCCCCAGGGCGTAATTGGTGGGGATGGGAGGGTGTTGGGGGGCTGTGGGGACCCCGCCCTGCCCACGGCGCCCGCTCCCCGCAGGTGCGAGGACGCACTGCGCCTCCACAGCTCGTCCCTGGAGCTGGGCCCGCGGCCCTTGGAGCAGGAGAACGAGCGGCTGCAGGCGCTGGTGGGCGCGCTGCGGGCGCAGGTGGGCCAGGAGCGGCAGCGGCGCGAGCGCTCAGAGCGCGAGTTCGCGGCGGTGCTGGCTGAGTCGGCCGAGCTGGAGCAGCGGCTGTGCGCGCTGGAGGGCTGCCGCCTGCGCGTGCAGGAGCTGGAAGCCGAGCTGCTGGAGCTGCAGCAGATGAAGCAGACCAAGACCTACCTGCTGGGCCGCGACGACCACCTGGCCGAGGCCCTGCTGGCGCCGCTCACACAGGCGCCCGAGGCCGACGACCCGCAGCCCGGCAGCGGGGATGACTCGGGCATCCAGGACTGCGCGGCCGCGTCGCCGGCCACCTCGCCGGGCCACAGCGTGCGCAAGAGCTGCAGCGACACGGCGCTCGATGCCATGGTGGCCGGGGACCCAGCCGGCCGCCATGTGGCTAGCCTCACGCTGCACGCCCACGGCGTGCGCCGGCGCGGCATGTCCATCTTGCGCGAGGTGGACGAGCAGTACCACGCGCTGCTGGACAAGTACGAGGAGCTGCTGGCCAAGTGCCGGCCGCGTGGCGCGGGGGTGCGGCACGCTGGCGTGCAGACCTCTCGTCCCGTGTCCCGTGACAGCTCCTGGCGGGACCTGCTGGCCGGTGACGACGGCCAGGCCGAGGCCAGGGCTGAAAAAAGCCTGAGCCAGCACGTGGAGGCGGTGGACAAGCGGCTGGAGCAGAGCCAGCCTGAATACAAGGCGCTGTTCAAGGAGATCTTCTCGCGCATCCAGAAGACCAAGGCAGACATCAGTGCCACCAAAGCCAAGACACACAATGGCAAGTGACGGTCCTCAGGCCCCACCTCCCTGGCCAGCCTGAAGCCTGGGGTTCCTGCAGCCCCTCAATGCTGATGGAAGCTGGTGGTGGCCGCCCTGATCCTGGAGTCGGGGAGAGGCAGCTCCCCACTGGCCCATGGGAACTCTGGGGGTGCGTCCACCACTCCTGCCTCCCAGGACCCCCCACCCCCATATGCTGCCGCAGCCTAAGGGCAGAGCTCTGAGATTCAAAGCCAAAAGTCCCCCCTGGCTGAGCCCCGCCCCCACTTCCTGGCCCAAGCCCTGCTCTGGGCTTTGTGAGGTGACTTTGGGCCACCCCGCCCAATGCGGTTTGCTTTTCTGAGAGATATGAAAGGCAGAGTTGCCCTGAGCCCCCCCCCCCCCACCACAACTGGAAACACTTGAAGGGGGGTCTCCAAAGCCCCCCAGACCACCCACTGCTTCTCGGTAGCTGCAATGCGCTGTCTCCGCCCCCCCCTCGCCCCCGAAGGGCTGTTCTGCGTGTCACCCCTGCTTCTCTAGGGCTCCAAGCAAATCAGCCAGGCCCTGAGAACACCCCTAGCCCACCTGAACTCTCAGCCCACAGATCTGTAGCCAATCAGCAGAGGGGTGCTCCTCGACAGCCATACACCAGCCGTGAGCCCCGTTTCACTCGGGACCGGCCTTCTCAGGTCCCAGCCATGGAAATGCGTCCTGCATCCAACTCCCCAAGCATGGCCTCTGCCTGCCCCCCATCTCAGGGACCATGTCCTCTCGTTCACCTTCACACTCCTGCCAGCCAACCCGCCGCTGGCCATCCCTGCCATCCCCAATGCTCCAGGCATGCGTCCCCGGCCAGTGGCCCCCTGTCCCCACCACCACGACAGCCGACTCCTCGTCCTGCCCCCCATGGAATAGCATCAGGCGACGGGAATGGGGCCGTGCTCCCTCCCGGCCACAGTTATCCTGACTTTCTGCTTCTTGGATCCCGTCTGAAACCCAGCTGCATCAGCGGGTCAGCCCTATCCAGGTTTCAGGAAGTCCAGTTCTGCCTAGCATGCCCAGGTGTCAGGTTCTGCCCTGGGCAGGTCTTTGGCACATCCGCCTCTACCCGGAACCCAGGAGGGCACCCTCACGCCTTACTTGTTCTCTAATGGGCAAAGGGGTTTTCTCTCCCCGCCCGACCTCCGTGGAGGCACCCAGCCCTCCAGGCTGCACTGTGAGCAAAGCTGGCGGCCAGTCCTTGTCCACACGCCCCAGAACCCTTCGTCCTTCGGAGCTGGGCGGCTCCCAGCCCACCCTCCGTGTGTGTCTCTGTCACCAAGGGTGCAGGGCAGGGGGGCGGGGGAGATGGGGGGAAGGGCTCCTGCCTCTGTGCTCCTCAGTTCTGTAGTGCCGGCCAGCGTCACCTTTGGTATCCACGAGAGAAATCTATTTACAAATGCTTTATTCTCTTCTTTAATAAAAAACACACCAGTGTTCGCAAAGCAGAAATGTTCTAGAGCCATTTTCTTTTTTTTGGGGGGGGGTCAGGGGGGTCACATGATGCTCAGGGTTACTTCTGCTTCTGCACTCAGGAATCATTCCTGGCCATGCTTGGGGGACCCTATGGAGATTGAACCCAGGTCGGGTGCGTGCAAGGCAAATGCCATCCCTGCTGTATTATTGCTCCAGCCACAGTAGGGTCCTTTTCATCTCCGTGCACCCCCTCACCTGGCCCCCGGAGGGGAAGTCGGGGGTCCCTCAGTGTCTCCCCTTCACTTCCCTAGCACTAGCAGCCAAGCTGCTCTCAGTTTTATACAGTGAGTAGCTCATTTGCCTCGAACACAGCAGACCCGGGTTTGATCCCTGGCACCCCGTATGGTCCCCTGTGCCCTGCTAGGAGTGATTCCTGAGTACAGAACTAGGAGTCAGCCCTGAGCACTGCTGGGTATGGAACTCCCAAAAACAGACACAAAAGTTCTTGGTGGCCAGGTCACCGGCTCAAGGGCTGGCATGCAGGCTTTGATCTCCTGCATGTGATCCCCCAGAACTAAACCCCAATACTGTCAAGTATGCCTGCCTCCCCTCCGCCCCCACAAGGAAAAAGTTCTTGGAATTTTCCATCCAGAGTGAGCGAGTGGCAGACACCATTCAGGCTGGGAACAATGGAAGACTCATGAGGTCCCTACTCCTTTGGGGTTTATACCCTGGTACAGGGAGCCCCCTAAAATAAGAGGAAGTGGAATAACTAAATTGGGATAGGAAGATTCTACTTCCTAGGCTTCTGCTCAATGAGGGAGGCAAAACACATTTTAAGTTCAAATATAATTAAGGGACTAGAGAGATAGTACAGCAGGCAGGCTGCCTGCCTTGTACCAGTTCAATCCCTGGTACCCCACCTGGTCCCCAGCCTCCCCAGGACGGATCCCTGAGGAGAGCCAGGAGTCATCCCTGAGCACTGCCAGACATGGCTCAAAATCCATTTTTATTATTAATTTTTTTATTTTTTTGGCTTTTTAGGTCACATGCGGCGATGCTCAGGGGTTACTCCTGACTTTGCACTCAGGAATTACTCGTGGTGGTGCTTGGGGAACCATATGGGATGCTCGGAATCGAACCCGGTTGGCCGCGTGCAAGGCAAACGCTCTACCCGCTGTACTATCACTCCTATCATTATTAATTTAAAAATAAAGAGGAAGGAAATACCGCAGCTCAGACATAGGTACCCCCTTCCCCAGAGTCCTTACCCCACATTGTGTTCAGTTGTTCTGTTTTGATTTTTTGTTTACTGGTCTTTTTTAAAAAATGTTGAACTCATTTAAAAACACCCTCACAGAAACACTGAGAATAATATTTAATCAAGTATCTGGGCAGCTTGGGCTAGAGCGATAAGTACAGCGGGTTGGGTGTTTGCCTTGCGTGCAGCCGACCTAGGTTCAATCCCCACCATCCCATATGGTCTCCTGAGCACCACCTGGAGTGATTCCTGGCTCTTAACCCCTGAGCATTGCTGGGTGTAACCCCCAAAAAGCCAACAAAGTGCATCTGGGCAGCCAGTGGCCTAGTCAATTTATTTTAGTTTTGGGGCCACACCCAGTGATGCTCAGAGGTTACTCTAAAATCTACACTCAGGAGTCACTCGTGGTAGTGCTCAGGAAACGTGGGATGCTGGGGATCGAACCCTGGGCTGCCGCCTGCCAGACAAGCGTCCTCCCCCACTCTCAGGTCCTTTCTTGGTCTTTTGAACTGGGTGGGGCTCAGGAATCTGCCCTTGGAACTTTCTCTCCTTCCCTACTATTCTGAGTCCATCTGACCTAGGACTGTCAAGAGAACGAACAAGATGCCACCCCCTCAGTTGAGGGAACCCCCATTTCTCAGGCCTTCCTGAAGGCTGGGGCTGTGGGCACCTCGCTTGCCAGGAACACTTGCTTTTCTTTATTTTGGGGGCTCTCAGGGTTCACTCTCACTTGCCAGGCAAATGCTGTCAAATGCTAAAGCCCCATTCCAGACCCCCCATTCTTTATCTTCTCTTGTCCCTTGCGTGTCCCCCCCACCTCCAATCCTCCCCCAGAATGTCCTTTTCTGGAAGCGCCAGGAGGGGAAAGGCTAGCTCTGATCACCTCTGTGGTCATCTCTGTAGAAACAGGCAGTCCCTCTCAGGCCTGTTCCCCCTGGAAAGGACTCTGTTCTGGAAGGTTCTCTGCAGCAGCAGGTGAGAACCTTGCCAGCTGCTCCCCCCCAACCCTCCACCTCCGGAGGCAATTTGACTCACTCGGCCACCCCCCCCTCGCGCAGAATCCAGGTCACCAGATGGCCCCTATGGCTGTTCGTCAGCACGGGGCGACCTGCACTTGCTCTGGCTCAGGGATGCTGCGGAGGGGCGGCCCCGCCCCCGTCACCATGGAGACGCCTCTGGGATCTGTCAGACCGGAAGGACCCCGGAGACTCGGCTGCCCGCTGCCGCCCACGGGCCTGTGTCTGCCAATCATCAGCCCCTTCCTTCCTTAGGGTTGGACACGCGGTGCCCAGCCTGCGTCGGCCTGGCTCCTCTGGGCAAGGCTCTGACCTGGTGACGCGCTCCAGAAGCCCCAGGGGCGTCATTTTCTACGTAATTATTTTCCTAAAAATAGAACTCTTCCCTAAGAAGCGGCTTCTGGCATTGTTAATCGGCACCGAATCTATGGCCAGTTTCTGGGGGCCCCAGCTCGTCGGACAGCGCAGCGCCAGCGGGGAGCAGTCAGACACTGTGGAGGGCTCATCCTGGTGGGGGCGACCCGTGCAGGGGGCCTGCGTGCCCTGGACCCAGAATCTCTCCCTGACTCTTGGGCCTGCCCCTTCCCGGGTCCAGCACGCTGTGATTTGTTGCAGAGCCTCCATGGGGGAGCAGTGTGTGTGTGTGTGGGGGGGGGGGGGGTGTTGGTTGGTTTGTTATTTGTTTCTAGGCTGCTTTGGGGAAGAATTACAGGAACAGTAACCCAGAGTCTGCAGAACTTCACATTTCAAAACATATTCCCAAAGAATTGGATTGGGAACTAGGGCATGACTAAAAGGTAAAGTATGTATTTAACGTCTGTGAGGCCCTGGGTTTGATCCCAGGCACAGGAAAGGGAGGGAGGAAGGGAAGGAGGAAGGGAGGGAGGGAGGAAGGAGAGAAGGGAGAAGGATGGGGTGTTCCTCATATGGGATACTGTGCTTGCCTTGCACACAGCCAATCCTGGTTGAATCCCAGGCACCCCATATGGTCCCCCAAAGCACCTTCAAGAATGATCCCTGAGCAGAGCTAAGAATAAGCCCTGAGCACCGCCTGGTGTGACCCAAGACCCAAAAACTACAAAGAGAAAGAAATTCCTCTTACTAACACTTCAAGGGCTGGAGTACAGCAGATAGGGCGCTTGCCTTGCACATGGCTGAACCAAGTTCGATCCCCGGAACCCCTTATGGTTCCCTAAGCACCGCCGGGAGTAATTCCCGAATGCGGAGCCAGGAGGGAAAAAAGCCCCGCGCATTGCTGGGTGTGAGCTCAAAACTAAAAAAAAACCAAAACCAAACCCACGTGAGTGCCTGTAAACGGGTTCTGCACCCAGGACCCAGCAACGACAGCGCCCTCGGGCACTTTCCTACGCTCAAACACAGGCTCCACAGTGGAAAAGTAAGATGAAGCCAAGTGAAAGAAAACCCAGGAATTGGCCGTTCTCCCGGCCGCCCGAAGACTCGGGAGAGCCCAGACCGGACGCCGCTGACCGCCTTCCCGCGACGGGGCACAGGGCCGCGCGGAACCAAGAGCGCCGGCAACCCGAGCGCACGGACCGCACGGACCGTAAGCACCGCCCCGGAAGCACCGCCCCGGAAGTGGCCCAGCCACGCCAACATGGCGGCCGCCTGCGCCCTCCGCCGACTCGGGGCGCACCTGCTCACGCTGTCCGCGCGCGGCCCGCGCCGGGCCCCGCACAGACAGGCCAGCGGCGCCAAGTTCCAGAGCATTTACAGCCTGGACAAGCTCTACCCCGAATCGCGGGGCTCCGAGACTGCCTGGAGGGTCCCGGTGAGCCGTGTCTCCGCCTTGGCGCCCCGTGGCCGGGGTCGCCCCGTCCCCGCCTCCCGGCTCGGGGCGCGCGGGGGTCGTTCCGGGCGGGGGCGCGGGCGCCGGGGACACTGGGCTAGGGCTTCTTCCAAGCCTGTCCCGTTCCGCAGCCGGCTCAGACGCAGGTTCTCGCCTAGTTCTTGTTCCGAGGAACCGTCTGGTCCCGCCGGAGTGGACCAGGAGGGCGGGACGATGCCCGCTGGTGGGCTCTGGTTTGGAGAGTCACACTGCCCCACCCCCCGTGTGTCCTTCCCCCCCTAGTCCACGCCGCCTAGCCCTCCAGGGTGCGTCCGCTCTACACCCCACCGTGCGCGCAGTGCAGGGGGCGAGGGGATGAAACAAGTCCGAGGGCCGCTGGATCCCATGTTCTGGTGACGGGGAGTCTGGGAGGGGGCGAGGGGGCGTCCTGCAAGGGGCTAGCTTCTCTCCCGTTGCCAAAGCTCCCCGGGCACCGACAGCTTTGCAGATGCAGACGCCAGGAGCAAAGCAAGTGGGGTGGGGCTGAGGGGGGTCCCTCTTCATGGAACCCTTCTGGGGTTTCCTGGAAGGAGCTGGAAGTAAACAGGGAGAGGAATGGGTTGTCCAAGTTCTGGGGGAGGAGGTGAGGTTCGGGGCGCCCCAGAGGAGGTGCTGAGTAGTGGCAGTTGATTTTTATGAATTTGGAGTTGAAAGAAGTCAGGGTTTAAGCCAGACCTTGTTTTGGGGCCTTGCCCCTGGGATCTCCAGGGACCCCAGAGCCATTCTAGGGATATGTGTTCCCCATGTAGCACTGGTCAAGCCTGGCTATGTGAAGACCCCCCAGACTACACCAGGGCTGCTCAGGGAGGGTCTGGAACCATGGGATAGTGGGTTGGGTGCTTGCCATGTACAGGGCCAACCTATGTTTGATCCCCGGCACCCCACATGGTCCCCCAAGCACTACCAGAAATAACCCCTGAGCATTGTCAGTTGTGGCCGAAAAACCAAAATAAAAGAATGCTGGGGGTGGCGGGGGTCCCAGTGATAGTATAGAGGGTAAGGCGCCTTTGTGCACACCACCAACCCTGATCCCCGCATCCCTTATGGTCTCCCAAGCCCCCCAGGGGTGGTTCCAGAGCACAGAGCCAGGAGGAAACCTGGAATACTGCTGGATGTGGCCTGAAGAAAAAAAAAAAAAGCTGAGGCGGTCTTAGGTGCTAGGGATGAAACTCTGGGATCTCTGACTTCCCCTGTGTAAGACAGGTGCTCCGGCCCTCTGAGGTAGGGGTGTGTGTGTGTGTGTGTGTGTGTGTGTGTGTGTGTGTGTGTGTGTGTGTCCACCAAAGGTGGCCGCCGGCTAGATGCAGAGGAAAGGCTGCAGAGTCAAGGCCATTTCCCAGAAGAAAGTCAAGGCCATTTCTGCAGTGGGGGCTTGGGCTTGTGGACACTTTCCCTGTCCTTCCCATCAGTATTGCTGAGGATCTGAGAGGAATGGTGTGACAGCAGCACTGTGCCGTGATACTGTTCCCCTGTGGCGCTAGACCAGGAAGGAGTCGGCCCACAGCTGAGGCTTCCCTGACGCGGTGTCCATTCTGTTGCAGGATGAGGCAAAGCAGGCCAGCAGCGACATTCCTCTTGGTGAGTCTTTTTATTTTTGTTTAAAAGATCAGTGCCAAGGGCTAGAGAGAGGACAGCGGGGAGGGCGTTTGCCTTTCATGTGGCCAAACTGAGTTTGATTCCCAGCATCCACTGTGGTCCCCTGAGCACTGCTAGGAGTAATTCCTGAGTGCAGAGCCAGAAGTAACCCCTGGTATCACTGGGTGTAGACGAAGAAATAAAAACAAAATTTAAAAAATAATAAAATCAAAGATCAGTATGAAAAGATTTTTTTTTTTTAATCAATGGGGCCAAAGGTATAATTCACTGGGTAGGGTACTTGCCTTACATGTGGCTGACCCAGGTTTCATCCCTGCACCCCATATGCGGTCCCCCAGTCCTGCGTGCCACCAGGTATGTACCCAAACCCCAAAAAACTAAATAAGAAGTTAGTGTGAATTTTGGGCCTGAATAGCTCAGTGGCTTATAGAAAGTTGCCTTACAAGCATGTGGTCAACTGAGTTCAAATACTGGGTGTTCTGTATGCGTGTATCATGTCCTGGAAACTGCTTACTGAAGGAGGAAAAGCTTCTCAGGAGCAGTCCTGAGAGGGGTCCACGAGGCCTGCCGAGGCCTCCTCCCAACCACCATGGTGCCCGGCCCCAAACTCTAATTTCATCCTCTTCTTAAAAAAATTTTTTTTTCCAGTTTTTGAGCCACTCCCTGCAATGTTCAGGGAACCCTATGGGGTCCTTGTGATCGCATCTGGGTCGGCCACTGCTGTATCTCTCTGGCCCTTCGCCTCACCTCTCATTTTCTCAAACACCCGCATCTGCTCTAAGGCTCAGTGTACAGGTTATAACAATGGACAGAGTGGCTGTGTTGCACAGACTCAGAACGCACTGAATGGAAATGTGAGCATTAGTCTCATGGTCAGTCTGACCCAGCCCAAAGCCAGTGCCCTTCCATCCTCTGACCCGGAAACACTTCCCCCAGCCACCTTAGCACTGTGAACATCACAGGGCCGTGAGACCCCACCTGCCTTCTCCCCCTGCGACTTCCCCGTGTTGGGCAGTTTGCTTTGTAATCATCTTTTTGCCCCTGGGTGGCTGCTTTGCACAGATCCTGGCCTGAAACCAAACAGCAAAAAGCCTTTGGCTCAGAAGCTGGGGGGAGCAGAGGCCATGGCTGCGGTCATAGGCTCTTTGCATGCCCTCTGGGTAGTCACTTCTCTCAGTTTCCATTCCAGCATCTGCAAAGCCTGTGTCTGCTCTGTGCTGGCTGGGGCACAGGCTCATTAATCTGGGTGTGTGTGTGCTATTTTGCAGATCGCTTGACCATATCGTACTGTCGGAGCAGTGGTCCCGGGGGCCAGAATGTGAACAAAGGTACAAGCACCTTGGCTGACCTCCGGCTCCCCCTTTTCAGGCTGGGCTTAACAGCTTTACTTTGTCGCAGACGCAGCTTGAATATCACCATTTGTAATAATCCGCTTTACTCTGGAATGTGGTTGGGCCTGGTTCACAGCCTGTTGGCAGGGGATGAGGGTAAGACCCGGGCTGGTTAGCCCAGACCAAGGATGGCACAGTGCATGTGGGGATCGTCCTTGGAAATAGCTTCCCTGCATCCAGGTGGCTCGGGGGATCCGATCCTTGCTTCTCTCCAGAGTCCAGAAAACTGTCAGGAGACCTGGGCACTGTTTTCACCCCAGAGTGGCAGGCCAGACCAGTGGCTTTGGCACGGTGGGGGTCCGGCCCCCTTTGTTCCCACCTAGCTCCCTGGTGCCAACTGCCCCTTTGTTTGCAGTGAATTCCAAGGCTGAGATCAGGTTCCACCTGGCGACCGCTGACTGGATCGCAGAGCCTGTGCGGCAGAAGATGGCCGTCAGGGTAAGCATGGCCTTTTCCTCCTCTTTCCTCCTTCAGCTGCTCTATTTGGGGGGTGGGGGGTAGGGATTCTGTGCTGGAGATCAGACTCGGGGCCTCCCACTTAGCGCATCCTCTCCATCATAGAACTGGAGCCGTATCTGCAGCCTCCCGCAGCCCCACTTGCTGGGTTTGGTTTGGGGGTTGCATCTAGCGGTACTGGGGGCGACTCCAGGCGCTGCGAAGGAATCACTCTCGAGTGCTCAGGGGACCTTGCAGTGTCCGGGAAGGAGACTCCTGCCCCCCAGGGCCTTTGCTCAGCTTGAGGTGCTTGTGCCTAGCCCCGCCTCGGTCACTTTTAACCCTTTCCTCCCAGCAGTTCTGGTCTGTTCTTTGTTCCTGGCAGCATAGAAATAAAATCAACAAATCCGGTGAGTTGATCCTCACGTCTGAGTGCAGCCGCTATCAGCTCCGCAACCTGGCCAGCTGCCTGCAGAAAATCCGCGACATGATTGCCGAGGCCAGCCGGCCAGTCCCCGAGCCGACCCCGGAAAACCTCGCTCTGCACAGGGCCAGGTATAGACAGTGTCCCCAGCCTCCGTGCCTGCCCTTAATGTACAGCGGGACTTACGGCGTCTGTTTCTCCTGTTTGTAGGGTAGAGAACAGCAACCGGGAAAGACTGAGACAGAAGAGAATCAGTGCGTCACTGAAGAGCAGCCGGAGGGCCGAGAGGGACTGAGGGGGCCGCGGGCTCCGGAGATGGGGCGCTCTCCCCTGCCACGGATAATGCCGCAATAAAGCTCCCAACACCCGGCCTCGTTTCTGGTTGCAGAGCTCCGGGCAGGGCTGAGCCGCGTGGGGCGTCTGCCCTCGGGAACACGGGGTGCAGAGCTGAGGTGGGGAGAGGGGAGGAGACCATAGCCAGTGGGGACAGAAGAGAAGCTGGGGGACTGGGGGGGAGGTCGAGGAAGAGATGCTAATGTGGGCGAGCCCTGAGTCTAGCTTGGAAACTTCCATCTGTTTCTGTTTTGGCTGCACCCACCAGTGCTCAGGGGTCACTCCTGGTGGACTCGGGGAACCCTGTGGGATGTGGGGATGGAACCGCAGTCAGCTGCATGCAAGGCAACACCCTCCTGCTGTCCCATTGCTCTGGCCCCTCTGGAGCTTCCATATTTCAGTGTTGGTAATGGGTGCTGCTGAGTGGGAAGAGATGGCGCAGGAGGGGCCCTGCAGGTTCCAGGTGTTGGGAGGACGGGGGATGATGGGGCACTGGAGAGGGGTTTCTGTCTCGCGGCAGCGGGGCCCAGACCTGTGGGAGCTCGGCACGGGCAGCGTTTGCGCCTTGAACAGACAGCTGTGCCCCGTGCCAGAGGGGTAGCTGGGCTGGGTGGCTGGGCCAGGGACCCAGGAGAGCTGGGGGTCAATGAGTCTGAGGAGTGGCAAAGCGGACAGCATGTGGTTCCAGGACCCGGAGTGCATACCTGCCCCCTCAGCCCATTCTGGCTCTAGAAACAAGGTTGTGGGGACCCCAGGTCCAGGGGAACCTGCACTGATGAAGGAAGGAGCAAGTCCTTCCCCTAGAACTGACACTTGGGCCAGAGCAGCAGCGCAGCAGGGAGAGCAGTGGACTTGCAGGTGACTGACCCAGGTGTCAGGAGCCCATCGGGTCCCTAAAGTCCCACCAGCCATGATCCCTAAGCACAGCTGGGAGGGTGTTTCCTTGCTCACAGCCGACTCGGGTTGGATCTCCAGTGCCACATAGGGTCCTCACCTGGAGTGATTCCTGAGCGCAGCCCAGCTGTGGCCCCAAAGCACAAAGCAATATATACCGGGGGTCTGGGCAGTCGTACAGTGAGTAGTGACATCCCGGCATCCCGTGTTGGCCCCGAGCCTCACCAGGAGTAATTTCTGAGTGCCTAGATCAACTCCCCACTGCGGCTCCGGTGGTTTGTGTTGGGAAGGGGCTCGGAACCCACTGCACCTATAAACTAGGGAGAGTGTTAGTTGTGGGACAGAATCTGCTAAGTGGCTGGTGGCCCTGAGCTGCTACTCATGAAATGTTAGCCAGGAAGCATGGTCAGTTTGGCTGGGACCAGGGCACAGGAAGCCAGATGGCAAAAGACACCAAGTGGACGCCAGGTCTAGAAAGGCCTTACTTAAAGGGAGAATGCAGGGAGCTGGAGAGAGCACAGTGGGCCTTGCACCTGCTGACCGAGGTTCATGCCCCAGCAGCACTCGGTATGGCTGCAGGCCAGGGGCCTAACGGGTGAGTGACCATAAGGAGGCAGCCTGGCGTGGGGGGCTAGGAGTAAGCCCTGAGCACTGCCCTGTGGGTCCCAAACAAAAGCTCATTACAGTGTCCCTGGTTTGATGCACACAGGACATTTCTCACTGCTACCTGGCTGAGTGACCTGCTTCCAAGCCATCTGCGTTTGGTGCATTTTCACCTTTTTCCCACTTGGTTGTTTCGTTCCTCCTGACTTGTTCCTCCTGGTTTTCTCACCATGATAACCTGCTGATTGTTCCCTGTCCTGGGCGGGTGCTGGTCTGGTCTCATTCACGAGTCTTTTCCTCTCGTGTCTGTCAGTGATGCGCAGGCCGCAGCTCTGTACCGGCCGGGCACGTGTGGGGTCACGGAGGGCGCGGCAGGCGCTGCTCTCTAGTGCCTAAGAGGCCGCCTTGATGAGCTGCAGGCCCCAGTGGCCTAATGGATAAGGCACTGGCCTCCTAAGCCAGGGATTGTGGGTTCGAGTCCCACCTGGGGTAGGCCCTTTTGAAACTATTTTTGACTTGTCATTCCGCGTCCCCAAGTACTCAACTGACTGGGGCGCAGTCCCGTCCAAGGTTGCATCAAAGGTTGGGAGGCAGACAGAAGAAGGGGGATTTCCCGACTGTCCCCGTCACACACTCCTGCTCCAAAAGTAGCCCCAAAAGTTGCCGCCTCCCCTGCCTCTCAAGTGCAACCCAGGTGGGACTCGAACCCAAAATCCCTGGTAAACTTGCTTTATCCACTGGGGAGAGACGGACGCAGCTCCACGTGGCTCCCGCGCACCCATACGCCCGACGCAGACTGCACGCAGGAACCCGCCGCAGGCTCCCCCCACGGGGCTCCCCTAAAATCGAGCACAGAGGTGCAGTGGGTAGTAGCGGACCCCAGGAAAGGATGCTCGGCCGGAAGGGCATCAACTTCTCGCCTAAAAGGAACCCGACCACGAAGGGATTCGAACCCTCAATCTTCTGATCCGAAGTCAGACGCCTTATCCGTTAGGCCACGCGGCCGTCCCACTGAAGTATCGCAGCTTGACGCCCTCGTGCAGCCCCTCGGCAGTGGCAGCGCCCGCGCTCGGGCCTCAGAGCCCCGCGCCGCGGATCAGTGAATCCGTCCGTTTGGCCTCCGTTACCGTTGCAGGTCAGCAAATAGGCATCCGCGGGCGCGAGAGCTCGTAGTAGACCGCGTGGCCTAATGGATAAGGCGTCTGACTTCGGATCAGAAGATTGAGGGTTCGAGTCCCTTCGTGGTCGTATCGTTTTAATCCCGGGGAGAAGGTAAAATCCCTGGGCCGTTGTCAGCACTCTCGGCACCGGCGCTAGTTTTAGACACGCTAAACCTCGCGACCCGTCACTCCCTTCACCTTGAGCTCGATGTTAAACAGCTCTAGTCCAATGGATTTTTGGTCCCCGGTAAGTTCCGGTAGTGACGTCATCACGCATGCCCACGGCATCACTTTTCAAAAGACATGTGATCCGGCGGCGGTTACGTGAAGCCCCAGTGGCCTAATGGATAAGGCACTGGCCTCCTAAGCCAGGGATTGTGGGTTCGAGTCCCATCTGGGGTGGAAGGAGGAAGTTGTTTTTCTTGGGGAAAAATACTTTATATGAATACATTTTTTTCTTTTCACTTGCATGTGTAAATGACGTTTTCCTCCATATACGGTCCGAACGCTGGTTGCGTCAGGCGAGGCAAGCGTCTGCACCCGCTATCGTATCTCTCACGTCCACCTTGGTTAGAACCCGGGTCAGCCGCGTGCAGGACAAAAGCCCTCCCCGCCGGTCTATCGCCCCCTGACCGTCCTTGGAAGGAAAACCTGGTCCTGGAGAGCTTGCTGGGCGGTTGAGCGCCAGCCCTACACGTGACCGACTCGGGTTTGATTCCCGGCAACCGGCAGGGTCCTGGTGGCCACTAGCCCCAGCAGATTAACAATGGAGGCAGAGCCGTGGAGAAACCCACCGGCGTGTCCCAAAAACAAAACACATAAACAAAACAAAAAAACAATATGGGGACAAACTTGTTCCTCTGACCTGGTATACAAATCTCGCTCTGGTTTTGGCACGCTAAAGTATTTGATCATGCGCTCTTACAAATCATAAAAGCTTAGGAAAGGCTTTATAAGACACTAACGTATGTTTTAAGTTTTATTTGGAGGACCACAACCGGCAGTACTCAGCACCTATCTCTTGCCCTGCGCTCAGGGAGCACCCCTGGAGCAGCTAAGGAGACCCTAAGGGGGGGGGGGTCGAACCCCAGTTGATGGCCTATCTCTCCAGCCCCTCTAATTATAGACTTTATGTGTATTATATGAAACTACGAATATACAACCCTGTCTTCCAGTTCTGCTGTGGAGGCATTGCACCTGGCAGTGCTCAGGGTTGAAGGATCTGACCCAGGACTCCACAGAGAGTGCTCTGGCCCTTTGAACTACCTTCCTGGCCTCCTAAGTATTTTCCTGAAAGTTTTTTCCCTGTCTACAAAAATTCAGTTTGATCCTTCTGTGACCAAATGTGTTGTGAACTTAAAGTTGATATAGTAATCTTGAGTCTGTTTTGTGTAATGTGCATGCTATTCTTATCTTCTATCCTTTCTGTAATTATTTCTCATTGATACAAAATGTAGGCAGAAACACCCTATAGTGGCTTTTCTGTATCTTTAACTTATGTTGGCCATTATTGTTGGGTTTTCTGTCCTGTGAATCACTGTGCTGTTTTTCTCAGGGCAAGTTGCTCAGACCACACATGGCAGTGCTCAGGGTTGTGTTTGAGGAAACATATACGGTGCCCAGGATACAGCAGCACACAAGAGCCTAACCTCTGTACTACCTCTCTAACCCCCATATCCTTAATTGAAACTCTCTTAATCTATAATGTTCCCACTATTCTGGATAAATTTATAAGCCATTGTACATTGTTAGTCTGATTTCCTGCAAATTCCAAAAATAGAAAGGTACTGGAGGTTGAATATATAGAATGGGGATGGGAGGCGCTTGCCTTACACACAGTAAACTTGGGTTCAATTCCTAGTACCCCGTAAGGTCCACAGAGCCCTGCCTGGCTTGATCCCTGAACCCTATTCACTGCTAGCTATGACCCCAAAATACAGGATGGTGTTTTAAAATCTTTTTGTGGGGGGCCATAACCCAGTACTGAGATCACTCCAGGGCTCAGGGGAATATGTGGTGTTAGGGACTGACCCAGGGTGGCCACTTGCAAGGCAAGCATCCACTCCAATATACTGTCTCTAGAAACTATCCTTTATTTCTTGCAACATTAGGGATCAAACCCAGAGTCTCACATAGACAGGGCATATGGTCTACCCCTGAGCCATCACAGATATAGGTGTGTTAAAATCTTCACAACTGAACTTCTAGCATTGGATTTATTTTTCTGCCATGTATATATATGGCAGAAAAAATATATATATGGGGGGGGTGAGAGAAAGTTTGGGCCATGCGGCGATTTCAGGGTCTTCCTGCCTCAATAGGCCTGGGCCATGCTGGGTAAAGCACATGTGC